GATATATTAAATATATAGTTAAAATTTTATAGTTTATTTATTCATTAGTTTTTATATTATTTAAAAAATAAAAGTATTTACAATAATATGATAGCTCTCTGTATTATTGAAAAATAAAATGATTGAATTTTATTATAAGTTTATAAAAAATCAAAATAAAATATAAAACTTATAAAAAGTTTGTAATTATTGATTCTAAGATATAAATCCTATTTATTATATATTTATTTATTGAAAATATAATAAAAATTAAAAAGAATAATATGCGAAAATTAATTTTATTAGGGTTACATACTAACAGATTAAGTTTCAGAAAAATCTTTTAAATAATTCTATATTGAAATAATAATAAAAAAATAAAAAGATTAGATAATATAATTTTGAAAGATCAAAAATTTATATAAAAAGCTTTACAAAAAAACAATAAATTATCTAATCCAAAATTATCATGTCATTATTTAATGTAAAGAACATGGTGAAATAAAATTAATAAAAAATCAATTCAAAAGTGATTTACATGCTTATGTATTATCATAAAAGGAAATTTAATCAACAACACAATTCCAAATTAAATACAATTTCCAATTATTTATTGTTATGTAGTAATTCTATCATAACATGATTTTTGAAAATGTCTGAATTTAATTTCACCACATGTATAATTGAAACATGCTTACCTGGTCACATGTGTTCCAGCAGCAGCTGAAACACAAGGCCAAGGAAACAGATGTGATAGTAATTATCCAGAATGAGGCATACATCTCCAAGACCTGCAGCTATTGTCGAAACATACAAAACATCGGCGGAAGAAGAATTTATAAATGCGAAAACTATCATACGGTTATAAACAGATGTAAACGGAGTCCGCGGGATCTTCCTACGGGCATTGCTTGATAGAGTCATCCACATGTAGATGTAGGAATTGATTATCCTTACTTAGCAATGACTAGTAATGAAGCATTACAATCCATCCCACGGGACTGACATTTTTATTAATACAGATTTAAATACATTTCCGATAATATACAAATTGAGTTATCCTATCTATTCTTGAATGGTAAACATGACGGTGTTGTTGTTGTTGACAGTTTCGCCGCCTTCTATCATTCTGGGCGCAAATTTCAGATAGAAATTTAAACCAACTGCTACAAAAATCGATATGCATACAAATGTGGGACCAAATGGATCATCTATTTGAATATATATATATTAAAAAAAAAAAATCGATTAATGAATTGGTCTAAGAACATGAGAATAGAATAGACAAATTTAAATAAAATTTACCATATGGGCCAGGGTATCTACCATTAATCATTTTATTTCTCTTGTTATATTGCAAGAGCGAATATATCAAAACTCCAACGCTGATGAACGCATAGACTGCACCAAAAAGCATCGCAGTCTTATTTTCCACCGTAGCAGCGTTAAATAATCCCAAGGATAGTGTACCCAATAACACACTAAACCTCATCCATGAGAAGAATGTTCTTTCATTTGCAAAGTAAACCTTGGGTTCGACACGAATAGGCCCTTCAACCTTAGTCGGTGTAAAGACACCAAGGATAACCGGTTCACGTGATCTCCTTTGAAAGATCCTATTGAAAGTTGTAAGGCCAATCGGTTTTTGTGGCGGAGCTTCAGCTTCTTCCCCGAGTAATGGTGTATTCTCATCACCCTGTTCGTCATCTTCATCTGCATTGTAAACAACAGCCTTACCCTTGTTTCTGGGATCACCAGTGAACCCATCATCAATTGCATTTTTTCCCGTGATATTACGCCTTGAACGTCCGGGTGTAATCAAGATCGATGATGAAGATGCCGGTTCTTCATTATCATCA